TTATTTTTATCCCAGATTATTTTTTTTTAAATAGGATGTTGTTGGAAATAGAAACTTTCCCTTCATCCTGTAGGGTTACCTTCTCCTTTAAACATGCCAGTTATACTTCCACTGTAGCCCTGAACTCATATTGTGCAACCACAGCTTTGGAAGAGGCAATTTGCAACAGAAGTTTTACAAGACTTTTGTTTTATAGACACAATCAGAGAAAAGGGAAAGGAAAAAAAAGAGGCCCATCAGCCCCAAAGAAAGCCCTTTCCCCTTGCATGATGACTGACGGTTGGATATGTACAGCCTTGGAAAGATGTATAAATCATTTTTATACACAGAACTGTCTTAGAAAACTAGAGATTTCAGTACAAAGGAATCCATTCATTGAAAGAATGTCTGCATGCCGTTGTTTTATGAGTTACACTATACACAAGAGGATAGTGCAAAGTCGCACTGGTTTATAGGAAACGGTTGCACTGTACATTGCTATCCATTCCATGGAGAAGGAGATTTACATGTTAGAACTACTAGAAATACTGTAACAATGCATGAAAAATACTGATACAAAAACAGCGGCAAGTGGATATGTCTAGCAAATATCCCTTGTTTGCATCATTCTGTTTGCACCCAAAAAATTCAGCTTAAAAAAACCCCAAACACAATTCCTCCAAGAAAATAGCAGAATTTAAATTGCCTTATTGTAAAATTCAAGCCAATTCATTTCCCCCCCAGCTACAAAATGTAATTCAAACTTTGTCTAGCTCGAGAAATAAAGAAGCATTTTCTAAGTATAAAATGGAAGAGGTTCCTTGATTTTTGTAGAATAGTGCATTTGCATTGAGGAAAGCATTGCATCGATTATGGAATTGTGATCAATGTATTGGCAGAGTTGAGAGAGGACTGCAACTCCCTCTGTAAAGCCAACTTGAAAAACCATAATGAATAGACGTCAGGTGCCCATTTCAGCCTACTGTGTCAGCAGCAGACAACTGAGATGCAAGATCAAGTCTGAACACTGAAATCAAGCTATTTCCAGTATACTTGAAGGGCCTGGTTCTTATATGATCTGGTGGAGCAGGAAAGAAGTGGAACCACAGTCACTGGGCCAGTATAAGAACCAGGAGGGAGCTTCTGAATAACATATCTCAACCCAGATTACCCACTGAAGTTGCCTTTGCAATGCTGCATTGCTAACTTCCATAAAATGTACTGCTTATTTTTCATATTTCTCTCTCCCACCCATTCTCCAAGGATCCCTTGGAGGATGTGCATGGAGATTCTATCCTCGCACGAACCTTGCGAGATAGTTCAGGCTCAGAGAGTGTGTCTGGCTCAAGGTCACTCAGCAAGCTCCTTGCCAGCAAGAATTCAAAGGCAAGTTTCCAGGACCCAGATTCAGCTCTCTAACCATTATATCACATAGGTTCTCAATATTCTTGGAAGTACATATACACATCTTAAACAAATTGACCCCCCCCCACACACAAATCATTATTTTGAGTAGTGAATTTTGACCAGTTAAAATGCAGAGTTTTCATGTTCCTGTGTATCACTGTATAGACTGAGTGCGTCCAAAACAAAAGAAATTCAGATTTATAAATAACAATTTAAATTAAGCTCCTGCACAAGTTTCAACAGGGGAAACTGCAGAATTGGTTAAAATCTCTGTCTAACTGATGAAAACAGATATGGAAATTAGTTTCTGCTACAGGGTTTTCTAAAATATATTTTCCCTTCAATCCTATGCATACTTACTTGAAATTTTTCATTTCATTTATTTATTTCAATTTTCAGCGTCCATCACTTTGTTCGCCAGGACTAGCTCATAGGTAAGTGTGCATGGGGTTGCTTCCCTGAAGCATATTCTTATTCTTCACATAGGTATAGAATATTAACTTGTAAAATAATAGCACATTAGTTTCCTGATTCCTGCATTTAAGAATTTGTACCAGCCTGCAAATCTGTTAATGTGTACCTTAACTGCAGAAGACAACTCTGATTTGAGTTGTGTTGATATTCATAATAAAACATGTTGGCCCTAATCCACAGTGCCCTGCATACGAATGTGCACGTTGTATGGAAAGATCTCAGCATCTACATCCTCCAAGCAGATGCAGCCAACTTTAACAGCACCTGTTCGGGAAGAAAGGATGAGCTGGAATCAACCTTCTCTTCTAACAGGTGATTGGCATTGGCAAAGTTGAATACGCCAAACCTCATTGAGGAGCTGAATGCATAGGCCAGAAGTCACTGCACATAGATCACTGATTCCTAGATGTGCTTTTTTATCACTACACAAAGCCTGTTTCTGCACACTGTAGGATTGGGGGAAGAGTCCACCATGAGATTTCCAGCAGACCTGTATTGCACATCCACCTATTTAGCTAAGCTACTCACACAAAACCCCACAAAGACATCACCTAAGAACTATTCTATTAAGGACAGCTCAAAAGGCCTTTGCTTTTGCAGAATGATTTAAAATTCCTTTAGGATCAGTGTTCTAAATGCCACTGGGATGGTACTAATGCAATCAGCTATATAATATGACAAATAGGCACCCTCTCTACCAAGCACACTGTCTGATGTTACGTTAGTTCAGCTATAGCAGATGCCATTTTACGGGTCCACTGTTCTGTTGTCAGTTCTGTAGCATTGATTACTTCAGTTTCCAGTCACTGACATTCTGATTTACCAAACAAGTGAACATGAATGAGGCCCTAATTGAAAACACCTGGTATGTTAAACCTTGGTCTACAGTATTGATGTGGTATCCCTGCAGGTTTTACATCAATCCAGGAACAATGTCATGGCTTATGGTGTTATGCCTGACTAAGAAGTCAGTACACCTCATCCTGGACACTTGTTTTCTGGCATGGAAGCCTCAGGGAGAGTCTGTGACTCAATGGCAGAGCACATGCTGTGTATGCAGAAGGTCCCAGTTTCAGTGCCTGCCATCTCCAGTTAAAGGAGCTCAGGTAGCATGTGTTGAGGATAGACCTTCTCTGTCTCAAAGTTCAGAGAGCTGCAGCCACTCAGAGGAGCCAATAATAAGGACTAAGGGCGCTTCGTATGTTCAGGATCAATTCCAGTAAATCTGTTTTCCTTAACACTTTGTCTATGATTATCAGTCTTACCATGGCTACTAATGAAGGGAGGCTCCAATTGAAACCACCTGGCATGGGGGTGATGATATTTAATGACCGGTTACTCAGGAAGTAACTTGATCAACGGAATACCTCAAAGCTGTTTACACAAAAGTAATCTGGATACCAGCCGGTAGGGGAACTTGATTCTCAGAAAGGATGATTTCATTTTTCGGCTGTCTAGGGAGGAGGTGAGCTCCCCCTCACTGGCAGTCTTCAAGCAGCGGCTGGACAGACACTTGTCAGGGATGCTCTAGGCTAATCCTGCATTGAGCAGGGAGTTGGACTAGATGGCCTGTATGGCCCCTTCCAACTCTATGATTCTATGAGTCCTGTGGTTCAGACTGGTCACATCATGCCATGGGAGATCTATGATCGGTAAGGTTATGTGATGTCACCACAGTTTGATACATCCAAATACAGCTAAAAGAAGTCTGGGCTAAAAACCAAAGGCCATTGTAGCTATTAGTCATTACAGCTAAATAAAACAGATGTACTGAGACAGCATATCTCGAGACAGCAGATCCTTGGAATAAACAACAGGATGAAACCAGGGTCCTTATGCCGTGCTTATGAATATCTAGAAGAATCTAATCAGATTTTGTTGGAATCAGAACTAGATGAACCTTGGTCTGGGTCAATGAGCAATTATTTGGGCCATCGCCCTGTTTGTATGTGATGGTAAATTGAGCAAATTGGTGGGCTCGCCTTCTTTGGAAGTTTTCAAACAGAGGCTAGATGGCCGTCTGACAGCAATGCTGATTGTGTGAACTTAGACAGATCACAAGAAGGGAGGGCAGGAAGGGTTGCATCAGTGCTTAGTTCTTGTGGCCCTTTCTTACATGCCCAGGGAAATGCTGATTGCCACTTTGGGGGTCAGGAAGCTTTGTAGTCCAGGCCAGTCTGGCCAGGGATCCTGGAGGGTTGTCCCCCCCCCTTCTGGGCATAGAGCAGGGGTTACTGGGAGTGGGGGGGTATTTGTGAATTTCTTGCATTGTGCAGAGGGTTGGACTGATGACCTTGGAGGTCCCTTCCAACTCTGTGATTCTATGATTCGATGAAATGAGTGGCAGAAAGGCTAACAGATTATGTGTGTGAGCATATTTCACTGTACAAAACCTAAACCAAAAATCCCAAAGACCACTGTCACCTTCTCGCCCCCGATATGTACCAACTGGGAGGATATCTCTTTTTTTTTAAACTAATTCTCTATTCATTCCTCACATCTACTTTCACAGTAACATTATTCAAAGAACAGAATGTTATTTAATACCATCTTCTCAAATCTCAGGTATGTGAGCAATTGATGGTAGGACAAACAAAAAAAGAGAGAGATTTTTTTTTACCATCAAGATGGTCCCATCCACTATGAAGTCAATAAAGCTTTATCACTTTGACTTCACTAAATTCAGAATTTCACATTCAGTGATTTTTGCAAGACAAAATTTCCAGCTAATCATTTAAATTAACATGCGAGTTTCCCTCCCCCCCTCCCCTGATCCCTCTCCTTCTTTTACAGGTAATGTTCTGATTTCATAGACAACTAGAGTTGCCAACCTTCAGGCGGGGCCTGGAGATCTCCCAGAATTACAACTGATCTCCAGACTGCAGAGCTCAGTTTCCCTGGACAAAACAGGTGTTTTGGAAGATGGATTCAATGGCATGATATCCCACTGAGGTCCCCGCCCTCCCCAGGCTCCACCCCCAAATCTCCAGGAACTTCTCAAACTGGAGTGGGCAACCCTAGGACAGCCGTAATAATTTTTTTTAACAAATGGTAGGTAGCAGCTGAGGAGAACTTTAAAAGTCCATTTCAAAAGAGCGCCGTGCCCCCTAACACCGAACGAAGGGCTTGGCTGACTCCATTTACCCATCTTGCTGGCCCAAAGTCTGAAGCTCAGACGTGTGTAGATTGTGGTGGAGGAAAACGTTTTTCCTGCTGTACATGTGTAAAGAGATTGGTCCTCTGGGAGGCTGTCCCAGCCTTCCTATGAAAGTAGAATGTTGTCGGGGAATAGCAGCATGATCCTTCAGGGCCCCGGCAAAAACAGGGGCATTCTCAGCCTTGGCGGTTGTCTTGGATGCACTTTGTGTTTCTCCGGCTAGGCCGTTCTGGCTGACCTCTGAAGAGAGGCTCTCGTAAGCGTCTCTCGTGTGCTTGATCACTTCCACCAGATCTTTCTCTTTCAGGAGGCTGCTGAGGCATGCGCTCGACAGCTGGCAGCTTTTGCTTTCGTGGGAGTTTGCTTGGTTGCTCGGCGTGTATCTAAAATGGTCCTCGGTGGGTGTATGTGCTGACTTTCTGTCCTTTGTGTTGAGAGTTTGGCTCACCATTTTGTTTAGAAATGTAGCCTGTGAAAAGAAAACAGAAAGGGGGGGGGAGATAAAGCATTAGTAACAGAACATGTTAACAGCAAAGCAGCTAGGAGCGTGCATGTATAATGTTCCCAGTCTCATTGAGAGCTATGCAACAGGCTAGGCATTTTCACTGTTGACTAAAATAGAGACAAATGCCAAAAAGCTAAAAGAAATCCCTAGCCATCAGAAGCATAGAAATGAAAACTGTAGTCATTATTTAAAAGAAGGGTAGAGTTACTAGTTATAATAACTTGGACATTCTTTTGGAAATTTGACAAAGAGGTACTCTGGGAAATACCTGGGTGTTTGCACGTCAACATATATTTATGGAGCCCTGACCTGGGTAGCCCAGGCGAGACTGATCTCATCAGATCTTGGAAGCTAAGCAGAGTCAGCCCTGGCTAGTACTTGCATGGGAGGACCTCCAAGGAGTGCCAGGGCTGGGACTCAGAGGCAGGCAATAGTAAGCCACTGCTCTGAAATGTCCAAGCCCCACTAGGGGTTGCCAGAAGTCAGTCATGACTTCTAGGCATACACAAATACACACACACACACACAAAATACCAAAAAACAAAAGAAAACTTGTATTTATGGAGAACTATGGTGACATGTTTTGCCTACGAACTTCACATAGCATTTACAAAGAATTTCTACAAAGGACAAACAGTTTTAATCCAGTGTGATTTGCTTAATGCAGTCCGCTCATGCAGAAGGCTGTTAGAACGTCTGTATCAAGTTAGCTTTGACAACTCTCATCACCTTTTTTGGGGAGGGCAAAAATGACTCTATTCCTCCTTTGCTGTCCCTCCCATGTCCTAATCGGTGCTTTTCTTACATTATTGGAGCAGCTTGGTTGTTGCTCCCTCATGACTGGAATCGACACTTATCTGGGAACTTCTATAGCAAGCAATCAGATGCGTCAGGTAGGTAGGGCCACTTCAGATAGTACTCTTCCATTTCCCCTGAGTGGTAGTGACCTCAGAAGGAGAAGTAACCATGTTGATTATCCCACTAGGGTTGTCAGCCTCCAGGTGGTCGCTGGAGATCTCCAGCTATTACAACAGATCTCCAGGTGACAGAGAACAGTTCACCTGGAGAAAATGGCCACTTTGGAAGGTGGACTCTATGGCATTATACCCCACTGAAGGCACTCCCTGCCCCAAATCCAACCCTCCTCAGGCTCCACCCCCGAAGTCTCCAAGTATTTCCCAACACAGAGCTGACAACCCTGCATCCCATTCATAATTGCATTGTACAGATGATACTGAGAGCCAGTTTGGTGTAGTGGTTAAGTATGCAGACTCTAATCTGGGAGAACCGGGTTTGATTCCCCACTCCTCCACTTGCACCTGGCTGGATGACCTTGGGCAAGCCATAGCTCTGATAAGAGCTGTTCTTGAAAAAGAGCACTTTCTGTCAGAGCTCTCTCAGCCCCGCCTACCTCACAGGGTGTCTGTTGTGGGGAGGGGAAGGGAAAGGAGTTTGTAAGCCGCTCTGAGACACCTTTGGGTAGTGAAGGGCGGGGTATAAATCCAAACTACTACTCCTCCTCCTCCTCTTCCTCCTCCTCCTCCTCCTCCTCTTCTTCTTCTTCTGTGGTGTAGAAAACGGGTGTGTGCTTGATATAAACTGAGCCAAAAAAATACCTGATAAATACCTTATCAGTATTTATTGGGTATTTTCTCAGCCAGTTACCGAGTGGGCTGCTGATTCAGCTATCTAAAAATGGCTGCCCTGAAAAATCCAAAAAAATACAGGATTTTAGGGGCCACCAGATAATTGGTGTTTAAAAGGATTGCCTTCCCTTTAAAACCTTCTGGATGAACTCACTGATTTGTGGCAAAGCTATCTGCAAGCCACAATGTAAGTGAACTCCTAGTGGCAAGTTCTCCATTATACCCTATGGAAACCATTACAGTCAATGCTCTCAATAGGCTATAATGGAGAATTGAGCCTGGGGTATCTGGGACTCTGGAGGTGGTTGTTTGAGGTAGAGGCAACAAATTTGCAGCATAGCTGCTGTTGCCTCTTCTCAAACCCACCCCCAAGTTTAAAAAAGATTGAATTAGGGGGTCCAATTCTATGAGCCTTGAAGGAGATGCCCCCAACCTCCATTGTTTCCAAAGGAGGGAAAAAGATATTTAAAAGGAACACAGTCCCTTTAAATGCCTTCTCCAAGCGACAAGTGAACTTCAAAGTGGCAAAACAAAGTCTGAGTCCTGTGGCACCTTTTAGATCAACAAAGTTTTATTCAAGGTATAAGTTTTGTGTGCAGATCTATCTCAAAAAACAACCCCCCTGAGCCCCAGATACCCCATCCTGATTTCCCATTACAGCCTATGGGGATCACTGACTATAATGGTCCCCACAGGGTATAATGGAGCTGAAAAAAATCAGCAATCCCAAATATTTCCTGAATCCTGATACCATAATGATATTGGGATTTGGGAAATACCAATATTTTTCAGGTTCAATATACTCAAAACCAAAAAAAAAAACAAAAATTTTTTTGTGTGTGTGTGCACACCCCTAGTGTGGAATTGAGTCACAGGGAAATGGCTCCAGTGGTATAGACCCACAAACAAGAGAAAGAACTATCTACTCTCCCAGGATGATGGCTACAGGTAGCTAAAGCTGACTTCCATGAAGTGGTTCACAAGTCTCAAGAGCGTATTCCCTCAACTGTGATGAAAATACTCTTATGCATTCTCTGTAACGGAAAATTCATGTGCAGAAAGGCAAAACCTGAACTGGTGAAATTTGCCTCCTGTTTTAAAGATGCATCATAATGCACAATCCTTGATTCTCATATACACAAATCTAATTCAGTTCATATTATTCTTCTAAAATATGCATGCAGGAAAAGCTGAAAGAAAGAAAAAAGTGACAGGAGGAGAGACATAAATCTGCTCCATTCCACAAATGCAGACCATACACACTTTCAAGGGAATTCTTTAAAAGGTACCATGCCATAATTCACACCGCAATTAGCACATTTTATGTTTCTCTCTCCTTTTAGTCATTAGTGAAATTACAGTTCCAAAGCTCCAGTTACTGGATGAGATACCAGCCGTAATATACTTACTACACATGCATCCTTTAAAGGTATTTGTGGATATACTACCATTTCTTTAGCCTTGTCCCGGTTTGTTTCTTTTATAATTTGAAGTTTACAGATCAAGTTTCAAGAGGCCTTCTTAGAGTTGCCAACCTCCAGATGGAGCCTGGAGATCTCACAGAACTACAGCTCATCTCCAGACTACAGAGATCAGTTCCCCTGGATAAATTTGTCTCTTTGGAGGATGGACTCTACGGCATTGTACTCTGCTGCAGCCCCTCCCCTCCCCAAACCCCTCCCTCACCAGACTTAACGCCCAAACTTCCAGGAATTTCTCAACTGAGAGCTGGCAACCCTAGGCCTTTCAGAACTTTTTGGACCTTTTCCAGCCATATTTCTGATTGCTTGGTTGCTCTTTAAAAGCCCCCCCAAAAAAAGATCTTGTAAATTAGGTGGGCAGACCTGGGCCCATGAGCAATAATAACATTTCTCAAATGTGCAGGCAGGATATCCCTAAAATGCCATGTAATGTCAGCTTTGCCTAATGTGAACTTCGGTGGCTAATTTTGAGATTCCTGCTTGGCAGAAATAGCTGAACAATTCTGGGGCTGGGGGGGGGTGGGATTTGTTAAGACTTGTGAAATTTCTCGTGGGATGTGTTCTGCACGTCCTTCTTTCAGAGCTCTAATTCTATCACAACAACAGCAGTGATAAGTATCAAATAGTCTTATAGCTGCTTCAGTTGTTTTGCTTGATAGTGGGAGGAAATGTGCAGTTTGCCCCTCCTATTTTAGTCTTCATTAGAGTTCTGTTTCCAGGCATCTTTGCAAAAAAAAGGCAATGCATGGATAGTTATTTATTTCAAACATTTATAATGCCAGATAACTAGGATCCAAAGTGTGTAACAACACTACAAAGGGTACTGAAGATATAGTCTTAAAAATAACAGCATTGAAACAATCTTCTCACACACACAGAGAGACACACAAACCCTTTAACACTGAAGGCACTCACAGATCTTCTTGAGGAGCAAAAGGCAGTTTTAACTAAGTTTGTTTTACACACCCTTCAAAACTGCAAGAGAGACACAGATCTAGGCTATTCCATAATATTGGAGCAGCCACAGAAAAAAGCCCGTGAAAGGACAGTGTTGGAACGGTACCCATGCATAGATTAGCCTACCTGGCATTGCTGTGCTGACCCAGTGTTTTCCCATAATGATCCTTAAGGCAATAGTGTGCTGAATGTGAATCCTGGTACTTCAAGGCTTAATGTCTTGAATTATCCATAGATTTTCCATCTGGGATTACCCCATATAGATATAAGGAATGAAAATAATGCTGTTTTGGGTAGCCATCTAGTGTGTATACTCTACAGTGTATTTACTCTTGGGAAAGGGTAGCAGTGTGCCCGGAAAGATGGCCCCTTTGGGTGCTAAATGGTGCACTACCTCTGTTGCCCATGAGTGGTTACAAGCATTGCTGCAAGTGTGTGGTGACCGAAGAGCACCACAGGTGCAATAGGCATCAATTTGAGGGGTCAGGTACAAAGCAAATGAAACTGACGAGCACTGCAAAAGAAGAATTAAAGGAGGAGACCGGGCACACTTTAAACAAAATTTATTCCAGCATAAGCTTTCAGGAGTCAGAACTCACTTTGTCAGATACAATTCATCACACATCTAACAAAGTGAGCTCTGACTCACAAAAGCCTGTTCTGGAATGCATTTTATTAGTCTTTATGGTGCCATCAGGCTCCTGTTTAATTTGCTACAGCATGCTAGTGCAGCTACTCTCTGGAATCATCATGGAAAGCACTGCTGGAAAAGATTCTGGAGATTTATACAAGATCCGGACAGTAAAAGAGAGTACCACATTTTTAAGAAAAACTAAAACCAGAGCTGTAGACTCCCCCCCCCCATGCCCATATTTAAAGG